AAAAAAAAAAAAAAAAAGAAGTTGAAATAATTAGCACAGTGTATGTTATCACTTAGAGCTTTAAATTTTAGCAAGCAAACTTGGAAGAAGAAATAGTAGGTGCTGGATTTTCTCCCATCCTCCTTAATGTTTGAAAGCAGGTTGGAATTGGAGATCATTCAGTAGTATTTGTTAGAGGAATATAGATTTGGAGTGATTAAAAAATATGGTCTGTGTATGTTAGGTACAGGGTCTTTGAGTTTTTACTGCATTGCTTTACATCGATGTCATTTTCAGCTTTGTTGATTTGATTTTTGGTTTGGTTTGCTTGCTTGCTTTTTAAATGCAGCCAAGCGAGTGCATCCAGGAATGGGGCCTTGGCCCAAGCAGAGCTTCTCAGAAGGTGCAGTTAGCTAGAGTAGCTCTGTCCCCTACCCGCTTCCCATCTTGAAATGTATATGTATTCCAACAAGGAAAAATGTGGTAGCATGTGGGTAGCCTAGGCAGTGAGTAAACATCAGACTTCCTCTTGTAGTAAGTATCTATATGTTATTTTCTATCTTACATGTTCTCGAATGTTTGTATTTCAGTAAGCCTCTACCTCCTCTCTCACTCTCATTCTCTCTCCCTCTCTCTCTCTCTCTGTCTGTCTCTCTCTCTCACACACACACACACACACACACACACAAATATTAGATACATATGGCCAAAATTGCAGAAATAAGAAAAGACTTTGCAGAGCTAAAAATTGAAACAGGTAATATACACAATATTTAGAGTTGCAGAGGAGAAGGCTCTTCGACCCATTCATTCATTACACTTAATATTTATTGTGCACTTACTAATTGTTAAGTCCTGAACTACGAGTAGTAGTTTCAATAGGAAGTCCCTGCCCTGTGGAATTTAGGTTTTAAAATATGGATAAGCAATTAGGATGTTTTCGACAGTAAGTAATACTCTGAAGACAGTAAAGAGCCTAGAGAAGGATGACAAATTGAGTAGAAGCAGCTGAGTAGTAGTTACTAAGAAGTTGGAGAACTATGGGATTCAGTCCAGTTGGAATGATTGTTTTCTGTTACTACTAAACATTCTGCACTTAGTTAGCCTAAGTGATAACAAATGAGCAGTCCTCTGATGCAGCCTTTTGTATTTTCCACTGTCACAGGTGTGGTTCCTCAGAGTGCGCCACCAGTGCCCACAGCCTCTTCCCGGTTCCATTTCCCACCTCTGGACACCCATTCTCCAACCAGTGATGTGCAGCCAGGGCGGTTCTCTGCTAGCTCCCTAACTGCTTCTGGCCAGGAGTCCAGTAATGGTACTGATAGAAAGGCCGAGCTTTCAGAGCTAGAGGATGGCTCAGCTGCTGACTGGCGCCGAGGCGTGGATCTCATGTCTTCCAGGAATGCCATTAGTGGAGGAGGGATTAGCCATCAGAAACGCAAGCCTGACATAATGCTTCCTCTGTTTGCTAGGCCAGGGATGTACCCTGACCCCCACAGTCCCTTTGCTGTCTCTCCAATCCCTGGCCGTGGAGGTGTCCTTAATGTCCCCATTTCACCAGCTCTCTCCCTGACTCCCACCATCTTCTCCTATAGCCCATCACCAGGCCTGAGCCCTTTCACCAGCAGCAGCTGTTTCTCCTTCAACCCTGAGGAAATGAAACACTACCTTCATTCTCAAGCTTGTTCTGTGTTCAACTACCATCTGAGTCCTCGGACTTTTCCCCGTTACCCGGGGCTCATGGTTCCGCCATTGCAGTGCCAAATGCATCCTGAAGAGTCAACTCAGTTCTCCATCAAGCTGCAGCCCCCACCAGTTGGGCGGAAGAACCGGGAGAGGGTTGAGAGCAGCGAGGAGTCAGCACCAGTTACTGCGCCCACCATGGCTCCTATTCCCCCAAGAATCAAGGTGGAACCTGCCTCTGAAAAGGATGCTGAGAGCCTCAGGCAGTCCACACGAGAGAAAGAGGAGCACGCTCCAGAAGAGGGCGCTTTGCCAAGCAGGACCATTGAAGAGGAAAAAGGCACCATCTTTGCCCGCCCCGCTGTACCACCCATCTGGCCCTCTGTGCCTATTAGCACCCCAAGTGAAGAACCTCTGGAGGTGACTGAAGACAGTGAGGACAGGCCTGGCAAAGAGCCCAGTGCACCTGAGAAGAAAGAAGATGCCCTGATGCCCCCCAAGCTTCGGTTGAAGCGGCGCTGGAATGATGACCCTGAAGCCCGAGAGCTGAGCAAAAGCGGCAAGTTCCTCTGGAATGGGTCAGGACCCCAGGGCTTGGCAACAGCAGCTGCTGATGCTTAGAACTGGAAGTGGATTAGGAGCTGTTTATACTATAATCAAATACATACATGTATTTATGTAGCAAGATTTCAGGGTAGGGGGGAGGGAGTTAAACTGGTTTGATCATTCTAGGGGCATAGACTTGTATTTTTATGTTTTGGGGATGGGATGGGGTTATCTTCTGTTGTAAATTAGGTGGGATATGAACACACTTATTTTCCTCGTGAGTAGGACACAGGGAGGGTATTGAACTCAAAGGAGAGGAAGCCTCTATTTCCTGTTGAGGCTTATACTTTCTGACAAGGAAACTCTCAAAGGGCCAAGATACTTTCTGGTCCCATGATAGTTCAGGTTCCAGACTGCTTTCTTTTCTATTGTATTTATATGTGGAAAGCCATTAATGAATTTATTTTGCTCCAAGAGATATACATAAAAGGGGAAAGGGCATGGTTGGGAGGTTGAGCAGTAAGAGACCATTAATACTAAGTATTTTGCCTGAAATGCTTCTCTATAATGACTGCAGGGGAGGAATAAGATAATCTCAGACTTACTGGGGTAGGGCGTGGGGAATGTTCGGATGTTGCTCTTTTTTTTTCCCTTTTTTTTTTTTTTTTTTTTTTTTTTTTTTTTTTTTTTTTTTTTTTTTTTTTTTTTTTTTTTTTTTTTTTTTTTTTTTTTTTTTTTTTTTTTTTTTTTTTTTTTTTTAAAGAAAATGTTTTCAGGAAACATGAACAAACGTATTGCCAATTATAGTGGGGCTGGGAAGGCACAGGAGCTGGCGACCTCTCAGCTGCATAGTTGAGACACCAAGCCCTGCTGTTTCTCAGACTTTCACCTACTTCACCTATTAAGAAGCCATGAGGAGTTGTAAACTCTTGTTCAGGGAAGAAAAGAGGGCAGGAGGAAGTAACCCAATGCCTTTAAAAACAAAGCAAATTTTAAAAACTTCATTTTTTTCTTTTCTATTGTGGGTTTGGGCAGCCAAACCAAAGTGTGACTGTGAGCAGGTTCACTGAGAGTCATGGCAACATTGCTGAAGAGGTCTTTCCATTATGTCTGGTTCTCTTATTTTCTTAAGTCAAGCCTTAACTATGAACATACTTTAAGATGATACGGGTCTGTCACCATAAACCTGTAAAAGGGCATGGACAGCTTTTCAGATAATCCAGGAATGTTGAAACATGGTTTGGTGTCTAGCTGACATTTAGTGATCCCTCTTGATGATGTTGGGATGGGTAGCCAAAAGGCAGGATTGTGGGAGTTAAGAGCCGATGATACCTGGAAACATGGAAGGTAGCTGGGGGTACAAGTGGATGTTTGCTGAGACTGAAGGAAGAGGTGGAAAGAAGACACAGAAGGCAACCAGATGCCAAAAGGCCTGGCATGAATGAAAGAGTTGGCATCCGTCCTGCTGTGATGTTGCCATTCTTGCCATACCCATTTGCCCAGATTGTTCTGATTCTCATGTTCAATTGGCTGTCCCACATGAGACTCCAGTTTATAGGCAGTGAGGAAGAGTTTCTTCCTGGGAAATTCCTTCCAGCAACTTCAGAGGAATGGGAAAGTATTAATCTTATGTGAAGCAGAGGGGCCTGGACTAGGGGCAGAGAGAAAGAAGCAGCAGCCCACCTTCTGTGTGTGTGTACATGTGCCTACGTAGTGTACATTAGTACTTGACTGGCTCAGAGCTGCATAGCAGCAGGGATAGAAGAAATCATATCTGATGAGAGGAAGTGGGGCACAGGGATGGTGTCTAGGAATTAAAAACATTCCTGACTCCACCTTAGCCTAAACAAACTTTGTATACTTAATAACATTTGAGGGTTGTCTTTTAATGGGGGTGTTTTTTCCTTTTTAAACTACAGTGCTTGCATAAAAGAGGGAGGGACTCAGAAAAGGTTACAGCAGGTGAGGGAGACAGTAGATGGCCTCGGATGACTTGAGTCCATCATACTTTTGCCTGGCAAGTGTCCTCCCTCTTGACTCAAATTCCATGAGTGACCTGCCTTTCCCTAGGAACAGGGCTAGGAGGGTGGTCCCCAGCAACTCAGTCTGCATAGGGCTCCCCATTCAGGCTGTCTTTGGTGGTTGTGCTTTTGTAAGTTTCTTTCTCTGCACTTCGACTTACCTCTGAATCAGAAAGCAAGCCCAGCAGGTGGATGAGGGATCTCTGCTTGGCATTGCCCGATCTAACCAGGGAGGCTGGCTGGCCACCCACTGTCCGCTAATGGGGAGAGCCAGCAGGTGTTGGTATGAACTCAGGAATAGAAACATGAGGCCTTTTTAAAATAAGAGGGAGAAGAATCCATAATGCATACCTGTAACCCCCTAGAACCCAAGTGCCAGAATTAATTCCTAGATGCTGCTTCTGTTTGAACAAAACGTCACTGCTTTTACACTTGAAAAAACACACTCGAAAAATGTTCAACTCCATGAAAAATATTTTTTGGCTTTAAGAAATTGTCTGGTGTTTTACCTGTTTCCTTTGATTGCCATTCCACCAGTAAATTGTTGGTTGATTTGCACTGCACATCGGGGTTGGGGTTGGGGGGGAGGGTCCTTATACAGAGCCGAACTTAGGGTTGCTCAGGAAGTGGACCAGGGAATGTGGAGGTCATTGACATTGCCTGGGACAAAAGAGTGGGAGATAGTTTTTCTCCCCTCAGCCCATTCCTGGCAGCACCTGTTACCAGCCTGGTACAAAGCCAGGTTTTTCTCTTCCGTGAGCATCTCATCACTGTCCAGCAGCAAGTGGGAAAAGGGGGACAAAAACCAGACCTAGGTTCTCTCCCCCATTTTTTCCAAATTTTGCTGTGCCAAATATTTAAAATTTTGCAAATATAAATCTATTGAAATTTCATTAATCAAGAGCTTCTTCATGTAAACAGTTTGCTTTTTTAGCTATAGAAAAAGAAAACAGTAAATATCTCTTAAGGGCATCCAGCCTTGTTGAGCTCACCTTTTTTCCTGAAGAATGGGTAGGAGTGAAATATTTAGTATAAACATTTCACCAAGTCCCTTCACCTTGAGTTTGAAGCTGCACCGCATTAAACCCAATTCACTCACACAGGGAATGATCACACCCTAGTCCTCTATGGGCCAAGCAGCTTTCAGAAGCATTAAAAAAATAGTTGAAGTTTATCACTTCTCACCAAATGGGTAGACTCAGTTGGCTGTTTGTCCCTTGTTTTTTTATTTATTCCATAATTATGTTTGTGCTTTTTATTTTGTAAACAGTAATGAAGCATACATTTGTATTTTGTTTAGAAGACAACTTTGATTCAATCTTTCAAGAACTATTCCATTCTTGGTTTCTTCTTAGGCGGGAAAAAAAGTTACCAGTTAATTTGTTTTGAGATATGTAGGCATTCTTTGAGTTACAGAATTGTGATGCAGGGATTTGTGAATGAAACATTTACAGGTGAAAGGTGACTTCACTAGTTACCTGCTTAACACAGAGTAAAGTGTGTATATGTACATAAAGTGTAAGTAATCTTAACTCCTTTGTGCAGTGCCTTTTAGATGTTCCGCTTTCTATAAAGTCTTCAAATTTTTGCATATATATTATATATATGATGTAATGTTATAGAAATATATGTATAATATACATATTTTTTCCAGGGGTATCTGATAGCTCTGTATTTTGTTATGGAAGTTGAAAGAAAAAAAAAGTATTTTACCTCAGAAATTAAAGTTAAATAAAAAAATACTTTTAAGTAATGTTTGCTGAGAGTTGGTTTTGTTGTTCATCATACACTGTGTCAGGGTGGTCATGCCAGAGAATTTGCCTAGTCCGTCCTCGCTCACCTGCCTTCATGGTTTTTTATTCCTATTGTACAGGTACCAACATAGTGAGGAAGTAGATCTCTTAACAGTTCTGGAGATTTTCCATTTTCTTGAGTGAATGGCTGCTACCGGATAAAACTAACTGAAGCCAGAGACCCAAGTCAGGTGGAAATGTCTATCTCAAGATTATTGCGAAGATTCTTTTAAAAGTACATGTCAAAGCCAGACACAAAAGACCACACATGACCTGATTTCATTTACATGAAATATCCAGAATAGGCAAATCTGTAGAGATAACACGGGTTAGTGGCTGCCAGGGAAGAGTGGAGAGTCATATTACCTTTTTAGGGTAATGAAAATGTTCAGAACTTAATAATGATAGTTGGACAACTATTTGAATCTAACAAAAACCACTGAATGACAATCACTCTGAAAGGGTAAGTTTTATGGCACGTAAATTATATCTCAGTAAAGGTGGTTTCGTTGGGTGTGTTGGAGTTTTTTTAAGTACAAAACACCTTTTTTAAGGGCAAACCGGTACTAGGGAAACATAGTATTTCCCAGTAGATGACAAAAATCTGGGGGGTTAGGAGAGGATAATGGCGGAGTACTGAATATCGTATAACACACCTTCAGAAAAATGGTGCCAGACAGTAATCTCATTTCATCCACGGGAGATAGGCAAAGTGACTTTCTGAAGGTCCCAATATGCCAGGCGTTCAATCTGACCTCTATTAAAGGGCCCTGTAAGTAGTTGGGAAGGCTGGAATTGTGTGGTGAGGGACGTGGCTGAAGAGGCAGACTAGGGTGGATTACAAAGGTTTGTATTTTATTCTAGCAGTGGCCATCCCTGGTATTTCACAAAAGAGCGGCCTGAGCCGGGGAGGACCATTGAAGGCCATCGCCCTAAGAAACTGTAACTACCCTGTCAATATCTCTGCTCAAAAGGGCATCTCATTTAGGTGTGAAAAAGGAAAAGTGATGGGCTGGCTGGTCGCCGCCCTGAAGTAACCAAGAATCTGTGGGTACGGGTTTGGATGAGACCCTTCACTGGGAGAGCCTCCTGCTCCCCTCCCCTCCTCATTGCTGAAAGCAGAAGGAGACCTGTTTTAGGAATGAACTTGCACATGGGTTTGAGACCAGAATCCCGGGCATCTAGTTCTGCCAGCCTAAGTTGACCACCCAGTGCTTAGAAGTGGATGGTGGTTATTTGAAATCTGAGCAAAAAAGGAAGAGAGAAACAGCGTGTGGAAGAGAAGTAAGGAGAGATCTCCTGGAGGGTGAGGACAAGGGGAAAGGTAAGTCTCAGAGCCCTTGATGGTAAGTTAGGGAAAAACCAGCTCACCATTATTTCCCTGTTACAGTCTTTAGCAGCTTGGCAGGCTCTTCATGACCTGGCCCCCGATTTCCCTTCCAGCCTCATCCTTCACCACACACCCATGCAGACACACTGTCTCTGCACTACACAAAGCCTAAGCTGCGCCCATAACAGCCAGTGCGAATACAGCAGTTGCCCTGTGCCAGGACTAACTTGTATCAACTCATTTAAGCCTCATGACAACCCTCCGAGGTAGGAGCTATTTATTGCCATTTTATTTTGGGGAACACTGAGTATCAGAGAAGCTAACTGGCTTGTCCAGGATTCACGCCCCAGTTCCTGTGCTCATAAGCACTCTGCTGCAAGGCCTCTCTGCCATGCTGACAAGCTGCTCATCGGGCCTGCCCCACTCCACCTGGAACACCCTTCTTTCCCCCACTTCACCAGACAATTACATCTTACCGGGCAGCATTCAACTCAGATGTCATCGCCTCCATGGCCTTTCCTGGCAGGTCGGGGGGCACTCCTGTGTCCTGTCACAGCCCTCACCTCCTCGTCTTGTCATAGCCTGCTTGTCTGGCTTTTCACATGATAGTCAAGAAGCCTCAGGCCAGCTCAGGGTTCAATTCAGCGACCCTTCTCCCATGCTTAGCACACTGCCTGGAGCCTGAGGATGCTTGATAAATGTTTAACAAGTGAATAACAAGACACATATGGAGGAGGTGCGACTGTTGGAATAGAAGATGCAGGTTTGAATAAGGACAGGCAAAGGGATGAGGGAGAGTGACACAGGCATAGTGTCAAGCTTCCAGCCCAGCGTAGGGGCCACCTGCCTGAGGAGCTGCACCTTGAGGCGCCTGTTTGACACGGCCTTCTCCCACCCTCCTGGTCCCTGTGTCTATCATGCCTCCCCGCTGCTCCTTGATCTTCAGCCTCTCTCCTTCCCTCTGTCTGCGACTGTACTCCCTTCCTTCTTCCTAAAACCCTGCCTCCCCTCAGGATACACACAGGATATATTTGTGGAGTATTACTCAAGCAGAATGTGCAAGAGAAAAATGAACTGAAATCATAGAGAACTCTCGCGCTAAAGATCCCCTGGCCTCCCGGGTTCCAAGACACCTCTAATCCTGAAGACCCCCACCTGGGCTTTCCCTTCCTGCCCCCTCCCTAGGATTCAGGCAGACTCAATTCCAGCTTCACTCACCCACCTTTTGTTCCCACCCCCCAAAAAAAGAAAAAGAAAAAGGATGAGCAGGAAACCCCAAGGAGGCCTGCTGTCCCTGCGCCTCTCCTCTCCTAGGAGCTGGCTGTGCTGCCTCCCTGGGGAACGGAGATGCTCTGGAACTGGCTCTAATCCCATAGTCCCACCCTGCCACTTACTGCCTGCGAGGCCTCAGGCAGGCCATGGAACCGCTCTGTGCCTCAGTTTCCCTCTATTTTAGGACAGTTTCAAGGATTCGGTGATGCACATAAAGCATTTAATGACGTGACCACTATGTGTGAGTGAGGTCCCAGCCTATCATCATGGTTATTTTACTCTCTGGGGCTTTGTGCCTTCACATCAGCTTTTTTAGTACCACCATCCATGTGTGACAGATGAGACAAGTGAGGCCCAGAGCGGGTGGCCTATCCTAATGGTTCAAACCGAGGTCTCCCGACTCCAGATGGCATGTGCTTCCCACTGCCTTGGATCTCTGAGGCGAGGGTGAAGACAGTTCTAAGCAGCGTCTAAGAATCAGACATGCAGAATAGGAAGAGGAGGGGAAAGCCCCAACCTTAAGTGTTTCTCCAGGTGTCAGGCCACGTGCCCCCATCTGGAGTGTTGAGACCCTGGCAAAAACCCAGCAGGAGGGGGAACAAGCACCTGTGAACAGGCCCAGGGAGGGGCCCCCTCAGCTCTGGTCAAACAGGCTCCAAGGGACTGACAGAAGGAGAAAGATCCAAGGTCAAAGCTTTCCCGGAATGCAGGTGAGCCCACCTGGCTCCCCCATGACTGACAGTGGAGGCTGGGCCAGTGTTGATACAGAGATGGGGTGGAATTGGGGGTGGGGGCGTCCCCCTCACTGGTGAGACAACGGAGAGTGGGCCATAAACCCTGCAGAGGCAGTGAAAACAAGAAGTGAGACCCAGCAGCAGCAGGCCTTTCTCGCTCGTCTCAGTTCCATCGGGTTGTTGACTTCACCTCATCTTCAGCCCAAAGCCCCATCCAGGAACAGTCCAAGCCTTACAACCTGAGTCCCAGAGAGCTACGGACCAGCGAGCAGGGAAGCCACCAGCCTCTCACCTGGATTCCTGCAGGGCACCACCAGGAAGGAGGGGTTGGTCAGCACCAGGCGGCAGGGGTCAGCACCAGATTCTAGCTGCAGGGGAGGGACCCTCTGTTACAGAGAGTCATTAAGCCTGCCTTCTGTTCTTTCCCAGGATCCCTCAAACAGCAGCGGAAATAGATGACGGCAGGGAGGGCGGTCAATCTGGTTAGCGCCCTGGGATTTAATTGTCTTCTTTGTATCACTTCTGCCCCTTCGGTAGCTAACTGGAAGGAAGTGACGGGGAAACTGAGGTATGTAGGCGTCAATCTATCTTCAGAATAAAACAGGTATAGAAAGTTGTTTTTATTCTCCCACTTGTGGCCCAGCTGGAAAAACTCTTTATCTGCACATATTGAAAAATGTTGCCTCTCTGCTCACCAACCCCTCCTGCCTTCATGTTGAAAGCAACAGTGGAGGCTGAGGCAGGAGAGTTGCTTGAACCCAGGAGGTGGAGGTTGCAGTGAGCTGAGATCACGCCACTGTACTCCAGCCAGGACAACAAGAGCAAAACTCAGTCTAAAAAGAAAAAAGAAAGTAACTAACAATGAGCATCTACATGTTCTTGTCACTTAACTTGTGTTAACTAACTTGATCCACAAAATCACCTTCTTCAGAGAGTACTATTATTATGCCCATTTTGCAGATGAGGAAAACAAAAGCCAATGAGGTTGAGCAAATTGCCCCAGGTCAACATAGCTAATGAGTACCCCGGCCAGGACTCACCCAGTGTTTCTAACTCCAAAGTCCAAGTTTTTTCTCAAATACCTCTCTGCCTCTCAGTGGTGATGCCGACCGATGGAAGGAGGGGTCGGGGACTGAGCTGCTTTAAAGAGGCCCTTTATTTCTCTAAGGAACTTTGTGGAATCATTACCGGTTTGAGCTCCCCTGGAGCAACCTCAAGGCCCAGAGACAGAGACTCATAAATATGTTCATTCAGCCATTCATTTCATGAAACAAACATTTGCCCAAGGGCTGCTGGATACCTGGCCGGGCTGCGGCTGGGAGACGTGGGGGAGGTCCCTGCTCCCTGCAGGCAAGCAAGCCAACAGCATGAACTGAAATACCAGGCAGACTGCAACCAGGTGACACTGGTTATTCATTCATTCATCCAACATTTCTGAGTGCCTACTGGATGCCAGGCCCAGTCCTGTGCTCATAAAGTCAAATCAACACACTCCTGGCCAGCCAGGAGCTTTCAGTCTAGCAGTGACAGAGACGGGAGTAAATCAGAGCTGTGATCCTACTTCGTGCTCTTTCCACATACCTCCGCCTTTTCATCCCAGAGCAAACTTTCACTTTTCTGGTTG